AACACATCTCACCTTCTATCTACCTTTTCTAGCTTCGTCCTTGAAACACTCCTCTGTTCCCTCCCCCCTCCCTCTCGACTTTTTTCATTTTAATGTTCCTCCCCTCTGTGAAGCCTGAAGTCAATTAAAGGACTAATGATAACTGTCAAAACGCATGCCATTTGATACAATACAACAACGAGCGATAAATTGTGATTTCTCTGACACACTATTAACAACGTTCTCTGAATACCTTTCTACTCTCTACTTATTCTAACCCTACACATTTTCGACTCAGTGGGCTTCAAAATAACCCGACATCCACAAAAATTGCTTCTGCAAGAGGTCGACACATATGTCAGTATTCAAACTATCTGCGGTGTGCCTGAGACATTGACATTATCTACATCTTCGCGGTTAAATTTGTTAACCATCTACGGAACTATGAGTTACCTCAACCTTTAAACAATTTTTTACACTTGCCTCTGACTGCCCAACGCAAACACACTGACAGACCGATCTCCTTTCTACCGCAATTACCCCTATTTAACCGTTTAACGCTCTTGCGACTGTACTATCCTCTTTCAAAATGTCCCCCATTGGTACTAGACTGGTAACAGAAGAAGGTATTGCCGTTTCAAACATGCTTGTCTGTTTGCATCAAAACGCATCAAGTCGGCATCCGTTTGCTGTGGGCCACGTGCGAGTGCGGTTGGGTGGAATTTTCAAAAAAATAATAATTCAGGCGTTAAATTTGTTAAATCATGCTCCTCGATAAGTCTCTGTTTTCCTCCATACTTCGAGGCAATTGAAAAATCCTTTTGAAGATGCATCTCAGTTTAGAAATGTAGCGCATTTTGGGAGAGAGATAAAGAGTCATTCTACTGCTGTTTGAACCAACTTTAAATTTAATGCACTGCAATTTTTAAGCCAGATCATAAGTACAAGTTTCAATGAGTCATTTGTCGATAAGATGATATCAGATTGCAGGAAAGTGCAATCTCCACCTTCAAGTTACGAATCACGCATCGAGAGGTTTGAAAGAAAAGATGACAAGGAAAAGTATTCATGGTTTTTTTATTAACAGATGATTGAGAGAAATCATTTAGATAATAAAATTGAGGCAACAAAACCCATTGGGCGTTAGTAATAGCTTCTATGACATCTGACAATCAAAGGCACTTAGGACTTGTATAAACTAGAGAGACGTTGGGTATACAAATGGAAATTCATCGCTTATAGTCATTCGAAATGGACGGATGTCTCGCCATTAATTAGAACCCCCCCCCCACACTACTTTGAGTCTAGACAATGTATTGTATTCGTTTGAGTTAAAAGCGTACCCGGGCAACGGTTATCAGTTAGATATCTCGCTGACCTTCCATTACTAATAAAAACAATCAACCCTACCCCCCCCCATAAAATCACCTTTAGTCTAATTGAATCAAGGTGAAATTTTTCAAAAAAATTTGGCACTTGGAAGGGTTTAACCTTAGTGAAACCAAAAACTGCCTCTCTAAAAACTGTTTGTCCCTAGTCCCTGGAATTCGTAGAATGATGTCTACTCAAACTGAAATGACTGAGCAATTTTACGAAGGCACTTGTCTCGATCTTTGACTTATAGTTAAAATTCAAAGACACACACGTCTTAAGATGGAGTCCAATATATGATTTGTTGATTAAAATTCACAATTCCTCTTTATGTTAAAGATAGAAAGGTTCAAAAAAAGGCTCAAATCGAGTGAACACCCTTCTTTTCCAGACATTAACGTCACCAAAGTGACTTACGTGATCTCGTCTAAAGAGTCCACCGAGAAGAGAACGTCGAAACGAGCGGGAGTTTGTTTTCAACTCTGGCGATTGGTAGGCAAGGTTCTCAGCCGCCACTCCATTCATAAACAAACTCGGCATTCGCTCGATCCGATCCGGTTGAAGTTGACTGAGTCCACTCTGCGCAGCTGTCTAAAGATGAATGGAGAAGAATCAATACACTTTTACGCAATCCCTATTCTAGCCAACTAGCTGACATTAATTGTTTAAGCATTTAAAGATCCTGTTTTAAGCCCTATAAAGAGCGAAATCCGTTGCAATTTGGGTCGATCAGTCAATCGGGAAACAAAAGAACAGGGAAAAAGGGCGTTCCCCGGTAGATGAAGGTGATAAGGTAGAAAATTTAAACAAAATAGTTTTCCATCTTAAGAGGAAAAATGACAAGCTCCTTCTTAAAATATTTTCCGCTCGTAATGAAATTTAAAGTTAGATACAAAATTCGGGCCCTTTTAAGTATATTTAATCTAATAGAAACTCCTTCTTAATCTTGTTTAACTGAATAAAGACCTTTTTTGCAGGAATTTCAATTTTTCTAAGTCTTCGATTTTCACCTATCTCGCTGTTGGCATTCACTATCTCCCTCCTCTTCACAGAATCACCAGTCGTTAGCTTCAACTCTTCTTAGACTGCCGAAGTTGCTCAATGAAAATTGAAGTTACTTGGCACTAACGAGGTTCCACTTATTACCTTGAGTGTCGTTATGCATTTAAAAGACCTCACGCACCCTTTGGTTTACATATTAAACAAATAATTCACATTAAACTTGACGAGAGTATTGAATTAGAAGGATTTATTTCCAAATTAATATTATTGGCTGAGATACAGTTACTATTGAGAACAATTGAGACTTGTTTCTTTGCCACTTTTCGGCTCCGGAAGCCATGACAAAAGGCAATATACATGTAATTGTCATTAAATGAAAATGTATTAATTATATTATTACTTGTGTCCGGACTGCCATTAAAGGGAGTTTTTTTTTACACAATAGACTACAATCCATTAGCGACCTAAATCATGTTACTTCACTTAGAAGAACAACACAATATCTACATTGTCTCAAAACGGTTCTTTTCCATTCAGATGTTATGATGAAATATTGTTTTAATGCATTGTTAGCAAAGTTCACGATAAGGGGACATATTTTCGAATTTCTCGGAGATGCTGTATTATGTTCTAAAGCGTTCTTCATCGACTTGCAGGGTTGGAAGGCGATATCGCTGTATTTTCAGTTTTACTTAAAATGCTCATTTTACCGTACATAACGTCACTGCAACTCACAATCGCGGAAGAGGTGATATCATCCGCAGTTTGTATTAAAAATCAATAGGGGGAACTATCAGTTGGGTTCGAACTGATGGGTGAAATGGATGATTACGAAAACGTTCACAAAATATTCCACAGAAAGTGAAAACAAAATGAAATCTGCACATGACGGATTGCCATTCCATGTCTCAAGCAACGCTCTTTGGGATTAGAAATAGGCAAGGTTTTAAATATCTGGAATTCACTTTACTCTGCCCACAGTAATTGATATATTCAAGGATTACAATCCATTCCAAGCCATATCGTTGATCACATAGGCCGAACGTAATATTTCTACTCACAGTACAAGGATCCCCAATCAATAACATAGGTCGAATTGTTACCGACCTATGCTAACCACCATGAGTTTACCAAATGCATGACCCCTGATATCGTGACGCCGGAATACAACTCCACTCGATCAAAAATTCATAGCAGATTGGACTATCTCACTGTTCTCTAATGTTCACTGCTTTGCATTAATAAATACTACAGAAGTAATTAGTGCTCTTCACCTCAAATAACGGAACTGCAATCTTGTCTTCAAAGTGACAACGGTACCTGGGTGGGGTGGGGTGGGGGGGGGGGGGGTAAGCGATATCAATGGCTGACTGACTTTGTCATGCACTCTACCTTAGAAGAATGCAATTTTGAATGTCCTTGAATGTTAAAATAATTGTGCCTTTCCATATGAGAGAAACAGGCATTAATTTTGTCTTTACGTCAGATTCGCTTGTTGGTTTTATTTGCAGAACAAAAACATCTCGAGGGTATTTTGATTTGGTGCGCAATTGTTGGTAATTTATCTGTCTGAAATCCCGTGAGTGTGATTTTAATTTCATTGCTATTTACACCGATGTTTTATCGGGTACTGGGTGTAAATTGCAAGGCTTCGGAATACGTTCATGTTAAAAATGGAAAGATCAACTGAATATCACATACTCTTTTATGGCAGTAAATTTGTGACGTTAGGTCCTGAATTTATGTGTTTTTTACCATCTTAGCAGTTTGGAAGTTCGAGTTCAATCATTTCCTCCCGAATGCAGCAAAAAGGAATACACGAGTGGGACAATGTGGGGGGAAATAATTTAACGCCTAGCAAAATCAAAAATAAGATTTATTCTTTAACATTTTAACGCGGGAATTATTATTATTTTTTTGAAAAACACACCCAATCGCACTCACGCACAGACAGAAGTCGATGTGATGAGCTTTGGTGGAAAGAGGCGAAGCCTGTAGACACATATCTTCAAAAAGCTCTAACCTTTGCTCAAAATTCATACCGCAGCACCGCGGCTTAATATCGCGAATTTTATAAGTAAATTGGAGGGGTATGCAATAGACTTACCTCCTCGTGGTGCCCTCTGGGCAACGTATACTCATACGGCAAAAA